TTTTCTTCATATATAATCATGTCCACCTGTCTGTCCAAAAACCTGTTAATCTCTATGGTAATCACTGTGTACTGGAGAACCGTTTTTGCTGAAAGTTTTGAAAGTTATTTTCAAAATAAAGCAGTCCTCTCTCTCTCTCTCTGTCACTGGTATGAATTTGTCTGTGAATGCCTTCTATGTCAAAATTTTACAATATCCAGTACTGTACTGAATGGACCAAATAACATCGAAGAAAGCGCATATGTGGCGGTCAGGAGATAGCAAACATTGTAAAACGTAATGTTACCAAAGGAAGGCATATTTGGAAGCAAAGAAGAGGGAGCGCTTAGATGTAGTGCAAAGAGGCGGCGGAATCACCATGGAGGAGTTTCGCGCGGCACAAGACCGATCTCTCGGGGTGAGAGTGTCAATAAGAGGAAGATTGGGGCTGGAGTAAATGCGACAAAGGAAGCAGAGGCCAGTTTACAGTCTTCTAATCCACAAAAACTTGATGTTTGCCAGCTGATATCTATGCGTACCGGGTACGACTTGAGAGAACAGTTTCCGAGTGAAAACCCTCTGAACATTTTCGATCTTATAGAGGTCACAAGCGTTCATTAAACCAAAGAAAGGACAGCAGTAGTCGAGGACTGGAAGAACAAACATCTGATAAAGTCTTAGCTTCATTTTCGGAAGTAAAAAAATATCCGGACTCGACTGAGGCTCATGGCTTTCGGGTAATGCCAACGATGACTAGGAACTGTTCAAGAATGTCCTTCTGCAGCTCATCAGCTGCCAATGCCCACCGACTAGTGTAAGACTGGACAAACGCCCTGTTTGGCTAAATAGCAACCGTAACATGGAAATCAACAGGAAGCACAAATTGTGGAAAAAATACTGCGTTACAAGGCAAGTTGAATATTTCAACACCTACAAGACACAGGGGACCAAACCGAGAAGCAAGAATATAAAAACGGTACGGGAATTCGAGAAGAATTTGCTACAAAGAGCAACGCAGAGCCCAATATCGCTCTAAAGCTATCTCGGAAGAAATACAAAGAACAGACATCGAATACCCTTAATAGGGACTGCCGATGGCATTGAGATTGCTGATAGTAGAGATAGATCAGCGTATTTCCACAGCTTTCCCAATCAGTCTACACAAACGAGGCAAGGTTTCTTCCTCCCTCCACAGAAGAACTGCCGACCCCAAGCATCAGTGATATACTCTTCTCAGGAGGCATTGTCCGAAGAGTATAAGAGGCATTGAACGAATCGAAGTCACCAGGACCATACGAGAGTCCACCCAAGCTTCTCAAGGAACTTGCCAGTGTGCTTTCTGTGTCTTTTGTCGATGCTCTTCCAAACGTCATTTGACACTGGAACACTTCCAATCGATTGGAAGCTGGCGCATATTACTGCACTACACAAATGAGGTGGCAGGGCATCGGGGATAAATTACAGGCCCGTAGACCCGAAATTCTTTCTCTGCAAAGTTATGGAGAGGACCACAAAAAGTGAATTGATGCACTTCGTGGAAGCTCGCAGCAAGCTATCAAAATGCCAACATGGGTTCCAGAAAGGAAGATCCTGCTTGAAAAACTTACTGCAGTCTCCTCATAGCTCGGCCCGAGGTCTCGACGACAGGCACGCGGTGCAGATAGCTTTTATTGACTTCCAAAAGGCGCCCGACACTTTGTCACTTCAGAGGCTGTCACACAAACTGAAAAAATACGTATCGGCGGCAACTTCCTCAGATGGATCGAAAACTTCCTTTTGTTCGACATCAGGTTGTGTGCATCGGTCAAGGGAAATCAGATCCTGCTGAGGTCGGGAGTGGTGTCCCCCAGGGTTCAGTACTGGCGCCCATTTTGTTCCTTATATATGTGGACAATGCCGCAAGAGTTTTTGGACTGTGAAGCGGCAATTTTTGTCAAGGACGCGAAGATCTGGAGTTCCATCCGGTATCCTGCCGACGAAGACAGACTGCAGATGAAATTAACTCGGTTGCAAAAGTCGTCAAACCGTTGGCTCCTTCAGTTCAACGTTGGTGTGGCATACTTCGCCTAGTCAACACTGCCAGATCCGCTAGTACAAGAGATTACTTTCTGGGGGGTGCATTTTTAAGAGTAGTCGAAGTCCAAAAGGACCTCGGTGTGCTGACGACGAGTTCCCTTAAACCATCCTCTCAGTGTTCGAAAGTGCAAAAAAGTGCAATGTCCGTACTGTGTGCCATCAAGCGTGCATTTATCGATGCTAAAGAAGATGCTTTATCTAAAAATTTCGGAACATTCGCTCGGCCGCATTTGGAGTACGGCATACAAGCCTGGAGACCGTGGGCGGATGGAGATCGAAATTGTCTCGAAAGAGTTCAGAGAAGAGCCACGATGATGGTTATGGGTCAAAGCTCCTGTCTTTATGCAACCCGCCTAGTAAATCTAAATCTCTTCCCTTGGAGTTACAGGCAACTTCACGGGATCTCTTACAGGCATTCCGCATAGTAAAGGCGTTGGATTGCAGTCTGGCCTTCGAGGACTTTTAGAATTTGCTTCCACGACCGACTTCAGAGGTCACCCGTTAAAACTGCGTACTGAGCAGGCAAGGCTGGATGTGCGGAAGTTCTCCTTCCCTGTTCCAGTGGTCAAACCATGGAATGCTCTCCATTCAGATTTTGTGATGTCACAATCCACACACAGCTTTAAAAAGAACCTCGATCTTTTCATATTCCGAAATGATCAAAAGCAATGAGAAATCGATCTCATCCGACGAGACTCACGTTCATTTTGTCCTAGCACAATGCGCTCGGTTGAATCATTTTAACCCAGGAAATATTTATGTACATCACACATTTCCACGTTGCAAATGGGGTACTCAAAGGCATACGCCTATTTCTTTCAATAAGCTGAACTAAACTGAATGAGTAGCAGTTGCCCTTCCTGAGTGTGCTCGTCAGAGAGAACCTTAACTATGAAATTGAAACGATTATTTAAAGGAAGGCAACGACGACCCCACAGCTTCTATGTTTTTATAGCAACCTCCCGGTGACTTTCAAACGAGACTGAGTCAAGACGCTCATCAAAGAGATCCAACCTCATTGCAGCAAACCGGAGGAAAGAGCACGTGAGGCCCGTTATCTCTGCGACCAGTTTGTGCAAAATGGCTATCCGAAGGCGCTCATAAGTCGTTGCCTGAGCGGCCGACCCCAGTGGACCCAAAGGGCAATACCACCAATGATATGGCACTCTCTGTCGTGCATTAAGGACGTTTCAGAGGTGATTGAGCGCATTGATGCGGAGTCAGGTGTTGGGGTTGTACACCGACCCACAGCCACCATCTTTATACAGCCCACCTTTTTAGAAGGTAAAAAGCCTGGTTTCTAAAAAAATGTTTACAATACATCGACATTACTTCGGGGTGGAAAACCCTTCCCTGGACATCACCTTATTCCTTCTTGACGCTGAGGTAAACGAACTTGCAAAGGCCACAGCTACAGAATACCAGGCGGTTCCAATGGAAGGTATGAGAGCGCAAGAGATGGGTTTGCTCTTTAGTGTTTAGCTATAATTATGCTCTTGCTAAATTTGTCGTGGTGCAGCTGAAGGCGCAGGCAGCTTGAGCGACGCTACACCTACTAAATAATGAATAAACGTGAAGGAGGCCGAAAACAGTGGAAAAATTACCATCAGCTTCAAAAAATAGAAGTCATAAAATTAGAGCTCCTAATCCGAGAAAATTATTGTTTAAATCGATGCGCAACTTCCAATCGGCAGTTTTTCCAATAACTGGTGACTTCGTGGTTCTGATTTAATGGTTTGTGTGCGGCTGTTTTTCATGCGCCACAAAGCGCTGCTCTATCTTTCAAGTTCATGCTATGCTTTTTTCCATTTTCTGGGAAGTTAGGTTGCTACATAGTGCAGTATGCACTGCTAACTTTTACTATTTGAGGGACACTGTACATGTTGCCGTAATCAAAAATGCCGGTTACATGCGCGTGTCTGGCATTACCACAGTAGTCATTCGGTTCCCAGAGCGAAACCCTGTTCCTTGCAATTCCCATAATTAGCTTGCGTGGTTGCGTATGTTCCCGCTGGACCGTTACTGACGTGGAGTCAATGTTGTGGGTACAGTCACCTATTTCGGTCTGTTTATTCAATAAATCTGAGGGTAACATGCGGGATCTTTGGAAGCCATGACGCAAGGGCGCCCAGTGGTCGGCACTATCCCTTTACTTTCCTTCAGCCGCCCTCCGAGCACTAATCACCGCCGTTTCCCACGCAAATTGTCGATGACCGGGGGTCTCCAAAAACGATTCCGAAAACTTTATTCTGTGGTGGGAGTCCTCGAAGCCCGGGTCCTGACGACCCTTCTCGAGTCCTCCCGTGGCCCATCTTGTGTGTTTGCGACTTCACCATCATAGTCACGTCCGACGTAATATCTGAACGCCACGCGTGGGTACATGCTAACGACTGACACGCACCCAGGTTCAATCACGTCAATCAATCAATCACGCCTTTGCAATCCCACGTTTTTGCTCAGAAAATTGGCCCAACAGTTACGTCTTCGTGGCCCTGATTGCCCCTTTGCGTGACCGTTGCCGGTCTCTTGTGTTTAGGCACTAATATATTTGTTCGCATAATACCTTGATATTGTCGGCCATATTTGTCGCCGGTGTAAGAAAATGTCTCCGACTGAAACATAGCCCCAGAGCGAAATGGTCGCGTCGGTCGTCGTAGTGAAAAGGAATTTTAGTATGCACAGTAGTCGTAGTATGCTCTCCCGCAACCCCAGACCATACCACACTCGAGGCCGTCTTCCCAGATCAAGGGTTTGACTCCATGCTTTCGGATACCTCGTGTTGTAGTGACGGTAATTTGAAGTAAGATGGTGACACTGCGTTTCTTTATCGTCAGCAAGACCTGTGTTAAAGTTTCTGACCATAAGTTTGGACAAGCCATGACAGGCTTATCGATCGTCAACTTCGGGGGTCTGGGCTGTAGTTAGGTACGAAACCCCAAAGTACCAACCCATCCCTTTATTTTCTCATACACTAGGGGTCATTTCTTGCTGTTGCTGTACCCTGTTTCTTTTGAACCGTATCCCGTCACTATTGGTTGCAGGTGAGATTCCCTTAAGATTTCGGCTCATGTCTCGGCTTCAATTGCCACAGACTAGAGTTCCGATTCTGCCTTTGATATTTTTCGCGAATTTTAAAGGGATACTTGGCAAACACTTTTCGCTTCTTTCTTCAAACGCAGTTCACATCCTTCCCTTTCCGTCCAAGTTGACGGTCATCGTTTGCGAAGCCCATGATATCAAGCTCACACCACGAGTTTAGCACAGCCAGAGAGATTATTTCGACTGGGTTCTGGGAGTGCATAGGGTTTGGTGGAGGGGGGCTAGCGCTAGAATCACCAGAATGTTAGGAATGGGCATGTGTGCCCTCATTTATATATTTGGTTAATTTTTAAAGTGCCGGGCGTGAGCGCCTGCTTTTCAGAGCATTTTCATACCAGCACCGTTGTTAACTTTTTGCAAATAGTCGACTTACCGGTAAAAGGGGTCCGGGCCTTCTTATCTTCTGGACTTCGTGCGCACACAGCGCTCGACCTGCTTTTCATACTTATTACGTCTATCTTTAATTATTAGCGCCTTGTTACCGCGACTTACAGAGATTCTGTCGGGTGTGTCCATGCTTCACGTTGACATCATTTGACTTACTTTAAATAAAGCTTGTTGGGGCCAAGTTAAAGTTAGATGTACTGGGGCTTCAAGCCCTCAAATAACAGAATATTAGGGTTCCTTGTCGTCCCTACTCTCCAATTGTTGCGTCAGGCCATGCTTAGTCACGCAACTTAACAATAGCGTGCAGCGCTTATTCCCTGTGTAAGACCCTGTCTTGCATCATTTACGGTCACCCACCCAGCTTTCTCTGTTAGCCTTATTCCGACTATTCTTCTTTACTCACCAACCTCCATATTTACGAGGCCAACTCAGAGTATCGTCCGTTTTCGGCGTACAGTCATCTGTGAGATGCCCAAGCAATTGTCTTTATGTAGTTCCCGTCTGTTCGTCGTTAGCCATATGCTTAATCAGTGCGTGCTTTTCACCTTTAGACAATAGGAATGAGCAATTCGTTGACATCGAAACTGTCAGATCTCAGCGTAACTGCAAACCCGGTCAGTGCCAAACCCGAAGTTTTTAATGGAGTATCTGAATCACAAGACAACCAAATTAGAGCTGAAAAAACTAACCCTTGGAAATCTCGTAAGTTGTCATTTTTTCGAACTACTTTTTTGCAGGTCCCATCCAGCCCTCAGAGAACAAACTCCTTGAAGCCGATGTCTGGCCAGAACCGTCTGCACCTCTAGAGCGACGCAGTTTTAACCAAAAAATAGAAGAAAAACCGAAGAATAGTACGAACTTTAGGTTTATCTATGTTGTTTTGTAGAAAAACTAAAGTGGCGTGAAATTGAGATCGAACCACCAGTTCACTCTAGTGCTGTTCGCGGTCGAGGTCGTTTCTCAGGTATGGGTTCTGGCAGTGCACCAGTTTATCAAGGCCCGTCTAACTCGGGCCAAATGCGGAATCGCAGAGGTAAGATCATTTACTCGCTATGCTATCTCTTCAGGCAGTGGCTATGGGCGAGGCCGTATATCCGATTCAGGCCGCGGGATGCGGCCTATGAATGGTTATTATCAACGCCTGCCTGATCGCGCCCCTTTCCCACGCAATCAACCTGATGAAAAATCACACCGACCCGTGCTGTCAGGGGATTCCAACTCTCAGGAGCCCATTGTTTCAACCGCTCCCGCCCCTGCTACGTACGACACCGAGAATCCTTCTCCAAAGAGTGCACGCCAGTCAGACGAGACCCACGAACGCCAGAACGTCTCTCACTCGGGGTATCCTGCACAACAAGAACATGCGTCATCGAGCGTCAGTACCACGCGCGGCACAAACACGGGGGAGCAAACAGACAAGGTCACATCAGAACTGAAGTCATCTCCTCAGGGTGTTACAAATAGGCGGTACATGGGAAATACGACCGATTCCACTGGCCGTCCGACCCGTTACACAGAGTCGTCCTTCAACCGGCCTCGACGCCCGCCTGTTCGCGGTCATGGCTATGGGTACACCAATTCGCCAAAAGGTGCGGCCATAGCCGCACCGACCTTGCCTATTCCAGCCGTCGCACCAGGCAAGTGCTGTATTGTCTTTGTATTCCAAATAAAAGAACTGAAATTTCACCTAAAACCTCGAGGTGTTGGTTAGATAACCTAACTTCTGTTGCCTCAATGCCTGTCTATTAAGGGAGTATGATTTCTCTTCTTCGGTATGGTTTAAACGTACTGTCATTTGATCACCACCTCCCGGGACTTTCATGCTATGCCGATTGTCCTCTCCTCCCGGTGACCTCATTTCAGCACCTTGCTGATTTGCCTTTCAATTTTCACTGGCACTTGTATAGGCTCTTGGCAGGGATACGGGTTTTGCTGTTTGCGATCACCGTTATGCGCATTTTTACCGCTTTTAGTTTTGCATTTTAGTGACCTACCTTCTCCCCGGACTTATGCCAGGATGCATGGGTGGTGCTCTTCTTAACCCTGGCGTCGCAATCAGCCCAAACACCGTAACTGAAAGGCGTTCAACGCTCGAAGGTAATCCAGTGCAGGCAATATTGTTGCCTGCCCAAGCCGTCCCAGTCGTGGCTGGGGATCAGACTCAAATATCGGCGGCACCCATTGTTCCGCTACAGGCGTCGACCGTTACGGCTGGCGGCGCCACCAGCAATTCCGCCAGTGAAATCCCCGAATCTCCTGCTATCACATCACAAGTGGCTGAGGTAGTTTCTCTAGAGCAGATGCTGGAGTATATAATGGAGGTCGGTTGGAATAAGACTAAAATCCCGGAATGGCTTAAGGATAACCCGACCATATCGGCGGCGGCGGCGGCGTCGAACGCGGACACACAAAACAAAGTCGAGGAGTCTGAGACTAGTGAGGCTCACTCACAGTCATCAGACTCGGCGAAAGCCAGTGAGACTGAAAGGTCGGTAAAGCGCGACGATGTTGTTATCGTGGACAACACAGTTTTCTTCGTGCCACGTAACTCACATCACACAAAATTCCTCAAATTCCGGTCCAAACTCGACTATATTCGTCATCATGTGTAAGTCTGTTTTTTTATTTTCAATTGCATTATGACATTTTTCTACATGCATTGTGATTGCTGGTAATATCTAATTCCTGAAACTCAGTTCAAGGATCAAATACTCCCGTTGTTATGTTGACAAGTTGCATCTGACTACGAGTTGTGGACATGACAGTTATCAAGCTTGCCTTGTGCATCTGTTTTAATACGTAGGATTCAGCCAACAGCAAGCTACCCTTGGTGTGTACGAGGGCTGAAACTGGAGCCGTACTACAACCTGGGCTTTGTTGCTCTCTTTTTGCCCCCAACATCTGTCAATTAACTGTTGGCAATGGTCCATAGCATAGCCTGCTAATGATTGTAGGGGTGTGGTACAGATGAACTCACTAGTCCTGCAGCCTGAGTGCAGTCAAAATGCGTAAGTCAACGGTGTCCGAAAAGTATTACCTAACGCCAGAAACACACGCCGTCGACGCCGCTTTGGCTTATAATCCTGTAACCTTTATAACACCTTACATCTGAGTCCCAGGCAGCGCGTGGCACACGTTGAACGACGTCTTCATGCCATGCTAGCCACTGCTTCCAAGCATCCCGGGTCGGGCTGAGTCGGACAGGCGACTAGGACAGCAAATTCGGTTCAAATTCAGCGCTTGATTTGATCGTTAAGCAGCTAAACGGATTTTGGTTACCGCAGCCCTCAATCAGTCGTGCTCTGGAGTCTAACTGGAGAAGTTATTCAGTTCCACTTAGGACTGGGGGTCAGGCTGCGATGGCTCCTTTGGTCTTTGTGGCATGGCACTCGCTGGTGAGATCAGAGACTTCCCCTTCCTTGAAGTCTGGCATATAGAGTTAAGGACTAGGTCATGTGTGACACCCTGGCCGGCCATCTATATTTGTCAGTTACTGCGCCAACGCCCACCTGCAGTCGTCACTATTTTATGGGGAGGCGGTGATTGTTGGGTAGAGTAAGACGAATTAAGTGACTCATACGACGTATACTAGATTAACAGGCTGGTCGGGTATTCCCTGTTAGCAATCCCTATTCTTTTGTCTAGCATCGATTTTATACTCGGTCTGGGCTGTCTTGGCCTCATGACGCACAGACTTTCTGATTTACCTTTGCGCTTAAGTGGTTAATAGTCTGATTATTGGATGGAATCAAGAAAACGCAAAGTTGAACTGCTGTAGCATACCACAGACGTCTTTGACTAACTTATACCGGGTCTGAAGAGATCTTCCTCTCGGCGTCAGCCCTCTGAACTTCCTGGTTCTTTCATCAGACAGCCCTTGAACCATGCAAGGATCTCCATTTGTTGGTGCATCCCATCAGCGACTTATGTGTATGTTTCAGTGAACTGACCGTAGGGTAGGTGTTGAGTCGGTGTCTGCAAGTGCTTTTTAGCGACTCACATTGTTAAACAGTTCCGACTTCCACTTTTTCGACAGCAGTTTTGCATAAATAAGTGGATGTGACGGGAGACGCCGCTTCCTGCATGTCCGTTTTTTCGCAAATGTTGGGATGACCCAACTTTTTGAGAGCAAACTAATTCCTCCCTTCCAACCTCAACTGGACGAAAACGTTCTTTGCTTAGTGATGCTTTTAACAGTTGATTTCACCACTTATTGCTTTGTTGGACTAGCAATCCGTTTATCTGTTAAAACTGGAGATATGCTTTCATTGCTAATGGTCCAATACATTGCCTATCTCAGCAGTCAGACCTATAGGTTTTTGTGCTCGCTTACGTGTTTATACGCATATGCAGTGTTCTCTTTGGGCGCTTTGGTGTCGGGTTGTTTCAGTTTACTACAGACGATCAAGTAACTGTCTTTTTTTACAGAGAATACTACTTCAGCGATGCCAACCTTCACCGGGATTACCATTTGGTTACCATTCTTTCGGAAAATGACCACACATGTCCACTGGAGAGTCTGCTTCAGTTCAATCGACTTCGTTGGGCAAAGGCTACGGAGTCCGAACTCCTAGAGGCTGTTGTATCCAGTCCCGCTGTTAGTGTTGTGTACTCAAAGGACAACCAGCCTGTAGGGGTCTCTCAAAACACGGCGATGTCAGTCGTCCGCTCCCCTTCTGCTTACCCCATCCCTTCCAAAACGTCTGCATCTGATACTAATCCGCCCGCTCCGGCTGTTACTTCAGTCACTTCGGAGGCATCTCGTCCTGTCGCTAGTCCGGACGACCCCAAATCGTCGAAACAAGATGCCGAAAACGAGGCTCCTTCAGCCACTATCTCGACCGACACCGTTGCTACGGTAGATTCTAACAACTTCTTTGTGGAGACCGTAATGCTTCCCTTCTACGCCGGTGGCCAAGTTCCTCATGCAACTTACGCTAACCTCCCCTTCGTCATGCAGCAACAGAGAATCCAAGTCCCTACCATCGGCCAGGCCCAGCTCAGTCAACCGCAGCATTTTTATGCCCTTCAGTCATCCCAGGGTTATCTGTTGCCGCCCGCCTACATGTATCCTAGTCCTGTCACTCAACAGCAAAACATCTCTCTTCTTCAATTCTCTAATCAGACGCCGTATTATGTGTCTGCTACTGGTACTCCTACCCATCCCAGTGACCCATCGTCTCTTGCGACGGCCCAAGCGGTTGCAGCCGCAGCAGCTGCACAACAGCAAACTGCTCCCTTTCCTAGTGCCCAGCCAATCTACGCTGTCCCGCAGTCCGTCTCGGCAAATGTCAACGGAACTGGGCATGCTTCCGAAACCACTACCTCCTCTCCGATTGTGCCTGCCTATTATCGACTCGCGATGCACCAACCCAGTTATAGCCAGTACGCTGCTGCCGCAGCTGCTGCCAGTCAGGCCGCTGTAGGGTCGACAAATCCAATCCTCTTGCATTTTCTGCCCACCATTCAATCCAGTATGTCTACTGCTTTTGTGCCAACAGGAATTCCAGCAACCACCCCCAACACCACTCTTGCCGCTATCGTAGGTGGTGCCGGCAACTCGAGGACGCAAGTTAACCCTCAGGGTGGTGGTACTTTTGTCCCCCTCACCACCCTACAGAACATGGCGCAAGCATCACCCCAGCTGCCTTCCTACCCAGGTGCTGCCGTCTCACCCGCATCATCGACCTCGGTTTCGGGCCCGTACGGCCAGAAGTTATCCACAGTTTCTGCTCGGCCGCACCACAATCAGATGAACCAACGTCTAGTCAATTCACAGTACACTCAGGTCGCTGCTGCTGTTGTCACTACGCCCACTCCCACGCCAAATACCAGACCAGCGAATCCGACGTCCGTTGAACCCGGCCAAAAGTCATCACCAGTGTCTGAGGAGGTTGTAGATGTTTCTACCTGACAACGGTTGACGCCGTGCAAAAGCCTTTCAGTTGCCTGAAAGCGGTCCACCAAATCTTTCATTGACATCGATCCGCCACCCGTGTACATATATGCTCTTCCCCTAAGCGAATCCGCCAGCGCCGCGCTAGTTCGGCCGCTTTTTCCCGTTTTTATACTGTCTCCGAAATCAGGTTTATTTACTCCCTTAAAACGCTCAAAGAAAACATGAAAATATTTTGTTGAACTGAGTCGCATTTTCAGGACGCCTTGCCAGTCATCTTGCGTCACCTACTCGTCTCCCCCTACCCCACAAAACCGTCGAGTTGGTGACACCATTCAGCAAACTGCAGTGTTATTTGTCCGCGCTTTTTCCGGTGCTCGCCTTGTTCCGTGTTTTTGCACCTCTCCTCATACCCCGCGTTATAAATGCTCTAAAGATTCGATACTAATTCGGCAAACTTCCTTTGCCGTGTTCCACCCTCCGCCCTCTCCCAATGCACCATTAGCCTAGGTTTCCTGTGCGTTTCTTTATGGTTCCTCCCATAAGCCATCACTACTAAGTAACGCACTTTTCTGTGATACACATTGTATGCTCATCTGAATTTGTTATCTATGCTACTGACTGACACCCCAGTCACCAGTGTTTAATACCACAAAAGTACCCCGTTCCCGTTAGGAATAAATTACATTTAAATACCCACAAAAACCGATATCTGACCTTGCACACTTGACGCGCCTGCGTGCTTCTGGGCCCGTGTCATATTCGCTACTCCTACCCCTATCCTTGTTGGCTTATTTCGCCATATTCGAGGTAATCTTGTGTGCATTTGGTAGCTTCTCCATGTTACCATCCTGATAGCTAATTCCGTTTCCTTGCGTTCTTCCACTACATCAACTGGCTATACATTTTCGCGTTCGCATGACACTGCACTGCTGCTTTTATTATCACTATTTTGCATTTTCATTTCCGCGCGGGACTTGTGTGTAAAGCTAGAGCATTCCCTGCTAGTTCCACCTTACTCTTGCCTTATTTTTTTCTCTAGCATTTTCATTGGACTTGTTTATTAGAGAACATTGTTGCTCTTAAGGACCACCCGGAGGCAACTTGGCATTTTTGTTAGATATCGTCTCACTCGTCCATTAACTCTCGTTGCGCCAGGATGCCTCATGTCTTCGCTTTGGTCTCCTCACCCACTCCCAAACTACAGTCCGATTTCGATCCTCTCAGGAGGGCTTGTGTACCACTGCAACGTAACCTCGTTTGCACATTGTGGAACTTTTTGCCCGTCAGTGAACTCCGAGGAATCTTCATCTAAAATAGACACGATCTGCAGGGACTTGGTCAAATATCGTCTGAAGTCCTTCCTGTTCGCGAGTGCATGGGTGAGTACGGGAGGTCGCTGTTTAAGTATAAGCTACTTGGCATTCTTAATGGCTAGAGTAGGTTGATTGGCGCTATTTCTCGATCAGTTTATGACATTCGTCCAGGATGGGTCACCCCACTGCATATAGTCGGAATAAATACAAGCGGCCGTAACACCCTGGCTCAAGAGAAGTGGGGCGAGTTTGCCTCACTGACTCTAAGTAATACCAACTTTTCATGGGATATTCTAAATAAGCCGTCCAGTCGACTGGGAGGCTGTTGATCGGGTTTTGTGAAGTGTTGAGGGAGAGTAGAGAATTTCGGTCTTGCGCACCGGGAAGTCGCGGATGCAACTTTCTGTCCGGGAACCGTAGTACAGTGTACGATGTACCCTGCAGCCCTACTCTAGCTTGTTCAAAGTGATGGGACTGACAGCAGTTGAGCGACAATGTTAGTCCCACGCCTGTGGAACGTCATCGATAGCTTTAGATGCGTGGTCCTTTGGATTGGTCAGGCCGCCACCTAGACTGGCGTAGCTGGGGCGACAAGAGCGCCACCTGCGTGAGTTTCATCGGAAATATTCTTCACTGCGTGTGACGCCTCCAGATCCGGGCCGTTCGCGCAATTCCGGAGTTATTCGGTGGGGTCAAGTGTCCAGCGGAGTATCTTGTCCGTGCGGGTGGCTGAGAGCGTGAAAGACCGTTGACGGCGAATCACCGAAGTTGGCGCAGATTACTGTGCCAGTGTGGTCTGTGTGCGTTCCTCTGTTTACCTGACTTGCCGTGTTGTCCAGTTTGTGTGCCCTAACGCGGACGGAGCGCACCTGTTTCAGCCTACAGTTTGGTGTGCGTTTCCAGGTCAACAGCCTTGTCAACCGCCTGAACGACAACCGTTTCGGCGTTCACTTCCAACCCGCTGTATGAGCGGGGGGAGGGGGAGGAGGTGTGCTGGTTGGTGTTAGTCGGTCCACTGGATGACGTCGCGGCACCTGATTCTATCAGCCGATCGGTGTAGGGCAGCAAGATTTGATATTACTTCTGAAGTCGGTCTTTTTGACCCTATCTCGAGGACTAATGAAGTAGTACGTGGACAAATCAATGCGCCCGCTTCAGCTGACATAAACATATTTACAATCTCAGTTCGCCGCAGTGATCAGCCACCCGAATGTTGATCAAACACAGTTCACGTAGGTCCATACCAATTTGTATCGGTGTTTTTGCGTGTCTCCGATGGGGTTGACATTGCCAGCCGACGACAAAGTCGAGGCTTCCGGAATGTGTCAACATAAATAGCGCCAACTAAATGTTGGAATTTGCAGATACTTCCGACAGTGACTCGAGGACGAAGGGTGCGGTACATGGCAGAGGATTTGGCATGCTGTGCTTGCCTCTGCTCCATTGGCGAACAGGGCATCTGTATTTTGAGGAAGGGAAGTTGGTTGTTTGTTTCGGCTTCCATCGTGAATTGGATATTCTGGTCAACCGAGTTCAGTCGATGACACCTTCGCCATTGTCAAATCATCTGACGTGGAGCACCTTAAAGAACATCTGTATTTTATCTAAGCCAGAGCGGGTCAGCGAGCTATGACGATTTCCAGTCTCCCGGAATGGCCTGATTTTACGAGGGCCGGCTTCCTTACATTTCGACCTTCGATCCCAGTAATAGCTAACCAGGCAGCGACTGTGTAATTGGAAAGCGGGCAGCGCGTTCGCCATTCCGTCAGTGAGGTATCATTACCGTGTTTATGTAGTAGCATGGTAGGCAGTCGTTCAAGATCGGACCACAGATCTATAAGCATGCGTTTGCTTTCGGGCGTGCAACTACTTACCGCGTGCTCAGACTTGCCGTACGTAGATATTCAGCCACCAAACCAAATGGCAAAATTGTTAGGTAAGTGGGCTAGCACTCTATGTAAACTTACCCATAGTCCGTTCTGCTCAGCGAGAACTGCCGCTGCCCAGGGAGGTGGCGGTGATTCGAGTTAAAGTGGGCGTGATTTGCGCAGCAATTCCTTGAAGTGATAGCTGGTGGCAGCTTGTTGGGTCTGGGTTTTCAAATTGCTACACCGGATGTCTCAGGCATCATCTTCCAAGTTGGAGTCAGAAGCAGCAAAGGAGTAGGTAAGTCGCTGTGCTCTGCTCGTTATCAGGTCGAGTTTGGTTGGCTGTGGTTGTGCAGTCCCAGAGGTCGGGGTTGTTTTCCACCTATTGGTATGATTTTCCGGGTGGACAAGACTGGTTGTGCAAAGATCACCACAGAGTTGCCCAACTAAGTAGCTCAGAGGATGTGGTTACGGCGCGGGTAGATGTGTAACTGCCCGCCCTCGCTGTCGTCAGCGGCGCCGCTTACCCATACCAACTCCGATTGGCCTAGCACGCTTGTCAAACACTGCGTGCGTGCATGTGACGCAATCTTCGCCGACGCCTGTTGATATTTCTCTCCACCGATTGGCCGCGTCCGCACAAAGCCCAGGCGTATGCACTTCAGCTGTCATCGCCTGTTGAGATTCATGCACGTCCTACTGTTGCGATAAAATTGGTCTAGTAATTCAGTCATTCCGGCCTTTTGGTTTGGGGACCTTCAAGTTTTCGACCATCGTACCTCGGCAGATCAACATTTGCGATGTTCATCGGCATTGCGGTTATTGATGGGCGTCGACGAAGCCAATGCGAGTTCCAAGTGCGTTTACCAGTGAGAACGCGTTGGGAGTTGGCAACACTACTCATGGTGAAAGTCTTTTGTTCTCGCCTCCACTCCTCGATCTCCTTTATTTGGTTGGTCTTGAAAATTGTTACATCATTCTTTTCGGCGTTTCGATGCACATTCCGGCCCTTTGCAAGAGTTTCTCAGGACTCCTAGTGAGTCCAGCGGGTATTTAAAGGTATCCCCACCGCGTTTCCACATCATAATCGGCAAAAATCTGCGACAGTGATGCCGCTGGTCCAGCGCCTACTCAGCCTGATTGCTCTAGCAAGATCGTATTTGCGATTGCACTGCAGAGATGCTGTGCATTCCAGTCGATCCCGGGACCTGGGTGTCGGGGTCCGTTCCCTCAACTTCGAATTCGGGACCCCTCTCCCCCCCGAAGACAGCTTGTTTGGAAGTGCTCAAGCTTTGCCTAATTTTGATAGGCCGTGCAGGTCTCCACGCCACTGAGAGTTGTCAGATCAACAGGCTCATACATCCCCAGGTTGATGTTGAGCGGGTGTTTCAGCCATTTCCAATGGAATAGTGAAGCTTGTCGCACTCTTGGCCAGCTTTGATGTAGGTTTAAATTTTGTTGTCCAGTTTCGCCACTTCCTGGGATTATGCTTCCCCGGCAAAATGGTCAGTTGGAAACGGTGAAGCTATTGTAATTCTGGACGATTGAGAGTTAAGTATACTACGTGTCTAGTGCCTTTTAAAGTGGGAGGACCGTTGTTTGAACGTTTGTAATCGACCTAAAGTCTGCTCATCCTAAGGCGGAGAGTATCCATCTTCGATTCATATCCGCTTTGGTCTCGGTATCCAATGCAGGGTCGTCGCCGAAGGGAAGGTTGCGTATCCAGCTCTTGGAGGCTTCTGTGACAACGTTCATTTCGCGGATGTTGAGTAACTCCCCGCCGCCCGGATGGTTGGTGTCGCTTGCGGATCCTAGAGTAGACGTCCATCAGTAT